TTTTTTTTTCATTTACGCCGTACTGAAATTTTCACCGGTAATATTTATATTTTAACGCTAGGATTATCCCGATCTTCCTCTCGCAACATCGAATGAATGAATTTTATGTGTTAGTGTGCGCATTTAGTTGTTTGATGCGTTGTTTTTGAAGAATGAAGCATTGATATTACAGGTAAGATGGCTGATGCAAAAGCCCTACCGGTGTTTGCATTCACTGAGGATCGTGTTCAGGTACAACAACTGCGTACATATCTCAAGGAACACGGTGCATCCATTGATGCAGAGGGTTCGTTTTATATCTCTTTTATTTTCTGTCAACCATCGGTTTCACTTTTTCATTTCCTCTATTTTTTCCTCCCTTCTTAACCCTAATAAGCTCCGGTAATCCGTCATGCAAATTGCTTCGACTTGAAATTTATTAACTTCAGGCCCAGCGAATTTCAACGAAAATCTGTTAGGATTAGTTCGTGGTGTGGGCGTTGTGGGTGACTTGGACAGTGATAAGGAAGCAGAAATGATTTTGAGTTCAATTTGTTCGCTTTTTGTCGTTGTCACACCCGATGTGGCCGTAGACGTTGTGGACGAATTTTGTAAGCAGCTGACATCAGATAAATTCAAGGGCATCGGATGGGCATCTAATGTTGGTCGTTTATTTGATAAAATCTGTTTGCACATAGCTAAATCCGCACTTATCTTTGACTGCTTCATCGATAAATTCGAGCGGTAATTTCCGGCTGTTGTTTTCAATCCTCACCATTCCGTTGTATCATCAAAAGTATTAGTGATTGACCACAGTCTTACTGAAAATATGAAAGTTTCATTTACCCACTGCGGGGAATAATTTCGACTGTTTTGAACCTTTTTGTATTATGCAAATGAATTGAATTGTAAGTACCTGCCACCAAAAAAAAGCAACGCTGTGGTATGATTTGATAATGGTGATATCAGTGCATATGTTCAGGTGGGTGCCGCAGTCCGTGTTCTGTCAAATTTATTTCATGGATTCAACAAGCATCCTCAAGTACAGCACTGCTTGTTTGTGGCTCTAGTGAAGTTGTGTGGAAGAGCTCGTTTGATTGGTGATTTAGACACAAATATTAAACAAATCAATGAATATGTTAAAAAATGGTCATTGAACATCCAACAACATCGCAGTCTTCTTCGACTCATTCACAACGCTCTTATCACTGATCAACGCGCTGATAGTGCGGCTAAGGTAAGTGATTATCAGCTGTCCGCAGTTTTGTTCTCTTTTGGAATTTTTTAGCTGAAATTTACACACTTATCAGAAGTTGATTAATCCTGCGCGAGTATTCATTGTCATTTCTTCGGTTGGAAACAGCTAAGATTCCATTCTACTTATTGCCTTTTTCGAGGGTAATCGGTTGTGAGATCACCTTCACCAAGTACTGATTCTGCGAGAGATGGAATAATATGTTTGCGAATGTAGGAAATTAAAAGGTGGTGTGTTTGATGAGTGAATGCATGATTTGTAACATTTCAGATAATGACCGCATTGCTGGGTACTTATACAGATAAAGATGCAGCATCAGCGATCGACGATGCACGTGAGTGTGTTCGTACGGCCATCGTTGATCCGAAATCGTTCTGTTTTGATCATTTGCTGAGATTGTCTGCTGTTCAACTGCTACAAAAGGTTATCTTTTGCATGCCTTTATCGGCTTTATATTGCACTCGGTTGATTACCGTTAACTACCGAAGATTTTTTCAGTTTTCTAACATCCCAAGAGCATTGTACCTGTGATGTAAACTTATTGAAAGGTAGCGGTTACATTCCGAATTCTGAATTCGAAAAATGGCATACGATTGAATGTAACTGCTTTGACATTTTTTGGGGAATAAGTCGTAGATATTCGAGTAATAATTGCCGGGCATTCATGGCCTAGTTTCAAAGAATGTTGAATTTAAGAGTGATCCGACAATGTTCGATGTGCTGAAAGTGTTCTCGGAAGGTAGGCTGTGTGACTATCGAGCGTTCACTTCAAAACACCCGAACTTCGTTAAAGAAAAACTGCAAGTTGATGAAGATGAATTGATCAAGAAAATGCGTTTCCTCACGCTTATGAGCATGGCTGAAAAGAGCAATGTAAGTTCGTTCTTAATAAGCGATAGTAGATCCATGCGGACTTGGGCTGTCTTATGAATTTATACTTGACGATTTGTGAATTGTTCTTGGTGTTATCAACACCGCATTTGCTTCCCCTCGTTTCATGTATACATTTTCATATTATGAAATTAATTAACCCATCGAATTAATATTTCCTCTGGTAATTACAATCTTCTAGGCAATAATAAATGATAAATAATGATGATTAAGTGGCTGTTTAATCAAAGTGGTATTTAGCGTTCTGATAATAAATGACACTGTGTTCAGGTGATTGCCTTGAGCGATGTCTCAAAACAAGTTGATATTCGCGAGGGTGAAGATTTAGAAGAATTTATCATCGAAGCTGTTCAGATCAATGCTATCACAGTCAGTGAATTTTCATGTTCATTCATGAGTGTTTCTCTTCAAACAAAACCTATATGAGTGTCGGATAATCGGTTGATATAGAAGCTAATGATTTTGAGTTGAAAAGAACTGATGAAAATTGAGACGGGAATGGAGGAAATGAAGAGCAGTCGTTATAAAAAGCCGTAAAATTCTGCAAATCAAGACATCTGAATGACTTATCCTTAAATGTATTTTATGAGTTTGAAAACTGTAAACCAGACGTAATCGTGTGATGTAACGAAATTTAAGGGTAAAATCAACGAAATTAAGCAAGAACTGAACGTCACATCGCTACAACATCGATCTTTCGGTCGTCCTCAGTGGGAACTTCTTCAA